GTACATTTTTTTTTATCTCCTGCTCTGTAAATTCGAACTTTAATCACACACAATTCTCCTGTAGGCTATTTGCAGAGGAGGAGTTAAGAAATTCTAACTTAAAGAGACTGTGCAGTAAAGGAAGTTTAACCCCTTAAGGACACATGACGGAAATATTCCGTCATGATTCCCTTTTATTCCAGAACTTGTGTCCTTAAGGAGTTAAAAAAATAAATCTCTCTTTACAGAAAGTGTGTAGAAAAGTTTGGTGTGTCACAGCCAGGAAGGTGTGGCTATGGTTGCATAAAAAAGGCGATGTAACTCCTAAATGGCAGATAGTTGTGTAGTGAGAATGCAAGGGCTTGAGGTCTACACCAAAACCACTTCATTAAGCTAGAGATGTTTTGGTGCTTAGTGTTCCTTTATAAGCATTTATCCCCCAGAGTAACAGGAAAGCATAATTTGTAGTAAAAACAGAAAGAAAAGGAAACATGAACAAGCTAGCATCTTTACATATGAGCTTTTCTCTGAGCTGGTCTCTTAATCCAGCAGAGTGGCTAATGAGTGAACATGTGCTCCAACTTAAACTTGTAGAACGCCGTCTGTAGAATAACCGGGGAATATAACAACTCTAGTTTAACAAATCTGCAAATGGCCTGCATGTCCTTTGTAATGAAGATTATATATCATGCACAGAAAGCCATGGGAAAATTCAAAGTATATGGAAAAGGTGGAGAGGCAAAGATGGGTGATATCTTAGACGAAATTGAAGAACAAGATATTTGGACCCTGAGGAGTTTGTTGGTGACAACTACCGCGTGAGTAATGTGTGGACCAACATAGATTACCAAAGCACTAAATCAGTTGTAACAGGCAAATAATGCCAATATAACAGGCACTGTTATTTTATGGAATCCTCAGTATGAAACCAGTCCGTTTTAATTTAAAACGTTTCCTGCACTCTTTCTGATACAAATTAACCAAATAATAAATCACCAATTCACGCAGTGTGAACAAACATTGTCTGTTGTGACTGGCAATCTGATAGACCAATCCAAAGACTCCTCTCAGTGACGGAACCCTCCCCCTAGCTGACGTTACCAGGAATAAGTCTTAACAGAAGATTAGATTTCAAAGCGATTTCTAATCACCAAGTGCAAATGATTCCTGCTTACCGCTTGTTAACATTTATAAATCCTCTGTTTGCCTTAGTCGACTGGCTGTTTGCATTACATTTAAGTCTAAAGTGCAGCACTTGATATCAAGTACTTTGAATTGCCTTGTAATATCTCCTGTAATCTCCTCTATCGTCACAGAAATGTAGTGTCCGTTTCACAGGTTTCCAGTGATGCTGAAAACCTAATTTTGTTTTTTCATTCAGACCTCCAGCTTAAGTCACTTCTGACGTGAAATTCATTTTTTTTTGTCTGCAGTGCCAATTCGGGAATGATCCGATTTCCCCTCTCCTAGCTAATTAAAGATAACTTTAATTTAGGATGGAACTGTGATTACCTGGAGAAACTTGTTGGCACGCTGATAAAAACAATGTGCTGGTGTGTTGGTTTAGAGCCAGAAATGTGGAGCGGATTTAAATGGATTGCAAAATAGAGATTTTGCAGTCAAAACATACCCATACGGTATTACCTGCTCAGTAGGTGAGCGTAACATTATACTTGATGAGAATCAGCCAGTGCGAGACATTCCTTTACGTTGCCATTCAGTGGAAATAAGGTAAAACCCAGACTCCAGTCTTCTATTTAAATTGTCCAAGAAACCGAGTGGTACTCTCACTCTGTCTGTTATATCTGCTGTAGCCTCTGCAATGTAAAACTGCAGAGAGAGTCAGGGAGAGAGAGTGTGTGTGTTTGTTTGTTTTACTTCAAAATGGCCTCCGTTTGGTTGGGTTGCCATATTTTAATCTTTAACCCAAGGTGCAAAAACTTTCCCTGAGTGTTCCAGAACTCTGGAATTCTTTACTTTTATACTTTTCTATAAATACTTTTACTTGTTCAGACAACTATATTCTTATTCTAGTGTTAAAATCCTGTGCATGATATAAAACAGACAGAGATTTGATTACATATGTACATTCACGTGTAGTTATTTTTTCTACCTTAACCCCTTAAGGACACATGGCATGTGTGACATGTCATGATTCCCTTTTATTCCAGAAGTTTGGTCCTTAAGGGGTTAAAGGCGCTGTGCAGGCATCCAGACCACTTCATCTCGATTAATTTTCGAAGGTGTCATATCCCTATCATTTAACCTTGCAGCCTTAACCACTGCCTTTTTGCAGGAACAGCAATGTTTTCAGTGCAGGTTTCACAATCCTCTAATGTCTTTCAGGAAGACAGCCACTAGAGGCACTTCTGCAGCTATAACAGCGTTAATGTTGGTTATAGCTCAGATGACTCTCCCAGAAAGCATTTGATTGGGTGCAGAGTGGCACTTTGCTGCGCACGCGCACTAGCCTCCCAATGCTTCCTTATGGGAGAGCATTGTGCTGGCTGATATCATCAGTCTTGATAAAAGAATCAAGAAAGGTATATCTTGCCGTAGAGTTTGCAATTCTGCACGTGGCATCCTGGGAGTGTTGTCTTTCTGAAAAGAAACTTTTAAAAGGTAATTCTGACCATCAAAAGCTCCATGGCCCGCTGGTGTAATTTCCTGGAAATGGGGCAAACTTTTTTTACAATGGTCTGCCTCATAACTTTCCCCAAGTTTCTCTCATGCCAGTTGATCCGACATCTGGCTTCCAGAAAATTTCAAAAGCACGGTGCTGATCGCGCCATTCATTCGTTGGCTGAGAGGGTCGGCTAAACACTCCCAGCCAGTGCAAAGAATATGGAAATAATTAACATTAGCAATCTAGTAATAAGATCAGTATTATAAAATATCTACGTTTCATACTCAAACCTACATGGTGTTCACAGACAATTTGTGGATACTGTAAATGGGATTTTATTTGTTTGTAATGTTTTACTTGATCTCATTGTTTGCAGTTGTTTGTTAAAAAAATAAAATAAATCCAACACAGTTCAATTTCAGTAAAAATTGGTACTTTTATAAGTCCATGCAGAAATGTCTCCCTGGCTATCAACAAATTGCCCCTGTCCTCACCACTGAGCTGCACTACATTGAGAAGTCGATCAACCCGCTGTCCCAGATTAAACGTTAGTGCTAGGGATGTAGGGGAAGTCATGCGACAGGTACGCAGCCTTTGCAAGCTGTTTTTCTATATACCCCAAATATAATACAAATACATTGCAACAAAAAACAGAGAATCTGAGAACAGCAAAAGCTTAGAGAAACCTCATTAGCTTGCCATTTGACTAGTCCACACTCAGGTCTCAATTTCCCCGTTTTTGTTTCAATGCTTTGTTTAGGCTCTCCCTAAATTAAAAGGTAATCCAGATGTGGTCACTGCACATAGTGGATTACAGATACACTTCACAGACAAGACCGGAGGAAGGCAGAAACTATCATCCAGATTTGCTGTATCTTTGTGCAGATGGAACTTGCGTTGTGCGAGTTATGGGGGTTTATAAAATTAAGCCCCTCAACATCATTTGAAGGGCTCCTCCTGATATAGAAAACATGGTGATGGTTGGAGAAAAAAAATCTGCAAAATGTATTTCATATATCTCAGCAACATGTTAAAAGTATAGCATATTAACTGAAATGTGTTGTATCGGTGTCTGTGAAATAGAATTACATTATGTTGAACAGAGAGATATTTTGAAATGCTATTGTGATCTCACATATCAATTCCATCAGTCGACCCCACCTAACTTTGTGAAATAACATAAGCCCAAGTCCTGCTGTCAGATTTGGTGCTGTTTTTGATTAGGGAGACAGGAGTATTTTTAAGTCAAAGTCTTGGAAAGTATGAACTAATCGGGAGGTTTGGCCAATGCTTTGATGACCCAGAGCGATATGATTTGCAGGCCATTGAAATATTACATAACAGGAGCATGTTCCGTTTCACAGTGCGTGGCTGATATATTGCCCCTGGCATGTAGGAGTGGCCCACTGCCTTTATTGTCACAAAAAATTGCCGGAGTGTTTGATCTCTCCTATCAGTGCCTGGAAGATATTCATAGAGCGATTTAAGGACATGCCCTTGCAGTCTACATTTGCACAATCGCTTCCTTTTATCACTTGCAGTGAGGGGTGCAGACAGGATTTAAAACGAATGCCTTTTCATTCTAGTTTTATCTCTATGATATTTGGCTAAAATTGAAGGAGGAGAAGGGCGCTAAGTTACAGGATGACCAAAGCCACATATCCTGCTCAGTCATCAAAGGAACAGATTCTTTTAAAATATGTCTTACATAGTCGCTTTAATTTATCATTTTGGGTTTTTTTCCTCATACTAAACCAATGTTTTAAACATTGGATTCTTCATTAAGAACCGTGGAATGTTCACCATCTTTAGCTAAGCAAGTTTAAACTGCAAAAGCATTCAAAGCCACTATGGGAATCACCATACAGGAGGCTTTATGCTTCCCTAACAATTAACATCACAAGGGGGGCTTGTTGTCTTCATCTCACTAGTTAGAAGCAGGGTTTGGTTTCTTTTATTATTAGCCCTGTAAGTTTGCGGCCCCCTCCTCCCTGTTATTCAAAACACTTGCAAGAATGGAAACAAGCAAATGAGCGCAATTTAACAACAATCTTATAGAATCTCACTATAACTCCATTAGGATTGAGGGTCTTAACAAACAAGCGAAATGGGAGAAATTAAAGTGAAAAACGTTTAACAGTTCCTCGTATCATGACACCTGCTATGGCAAATACATCCTCTTTACCCTTTTGATGGACCTTACAATTTAGACATGACCGGTGTATAGAGATATCGCGAACCATCCGCGAACTTCTCGCGACCAGTTCACCACGAGCTGTTCGCGGCAAACTCCGGTCTGCTGACACATCCCGGCCAATCTCCAGCAGACCCTCCCTCCCAGACCCTCCTACTTCCTATTCGCGGCGAACTCCGGTCAGCTGACACGTCCCGGCCAATCTCCAGCAGACCCTCCCTCCCAGACCCTCCTACTTCCTGGACAGCATCCATGTTGAATGCTGTCCAGGAAGTAGGAGGGTCTGGGAGGGAGGGTCTGCTGGAGATTGGCCGGGACGTGTCAGCTGACCGGAGTTCGCCGCGAACGGCTCGTGGCGAACCGTTCGCGAGAAGTTCGCGGACGGTTCGCGACATCTCTACCGGTGTATAGTCGCCATATGGGCAGTCGGAACCTAGGACAAAACCCCCACATACCTATCCCAATAACACGCTGACACTAGGGTATATGGGTAAAATTGTCCACAGCTTTTATTAACAATTATAATAATATAATAATAATTTAACATATAAACATGGGTCATTGCCCCCATACAATGACCCCAACATAACTAACACATATATATATCTCTAACAATTTGCAACCTTACTCCAACATAACAATTTAAGTGCCAACCATAAATAACCAAGGCAGGGGTATACCTGGATACCCCTACCCCACCAGGTTCTGAGCCACCTCCAGGACTCGAAACCTACCAACCACCAGTGACCACAATTTTCCATGTTCATGACGTTCCTCATGGGAGCCTATTTCCTCTTCCTCGGCTCCCTATCCTGCCGCTGTGACAAAACGGGATACCCTCATTTAACTCAAAAACCCAGGGAGGGTGGGTGGGACAAACTCAACCAGGTAGGAAAGTAAATGTGCCCTATCCAAAATGGCTACCTCTTTAAGTAGACCAACCCCTTTCTCCCACAACCCACCAGTCCCGGCCGGTTCCTCCTAAGCCCACCTCCTAACCCCTGTCAAGGCCCTCCTCCGCTAAGCTGTGCTTTGGCTACTTGGGGCTACAATACTTATGCCCAACTGCTAGGCGAGCATCCTACCAGACCTTAACCTGTACGTGTTTATTTGCAGTTCTTTTTTGTAAAGTTCACTAACTCTGTTTACTAACTCTTGCATACAGTATGCCAAACCAAATACTACCATGTAATTCTGTGCATCCACTGAAAGCAAGCATTAGTGATAGAGCCCACTGTGTGTAGGATCTGGTAAGTATGTTTTGCAGGACCAATCACAAGGTAATATAACAGAACAATTAGGGCCAGTCATGGTGCCCGCCGGGTGCACTCCAGTGCAGCACGTCCCTGCGCGGTTTATTTTTCGTGCTACCCTTGCCTCCATCTCATGTGTCCGTGGTCTCCTCCAGTGTTCAGTATGACGTTGATCACTGCGAATCAGATCCCTGTTATGGCCCTATCTTAAAGTTTGTCTAAGTGACGTGAACGTGCGTGTCATCACACAGATGTTGCTCGTGCACACTCCGGCATCATATTACAGCAACTAACCAACAACTGCCTCTTCTGTACTATTCTATACATTAGCATTGAATCTGGCCATTCTAAGGTCCGGTAATACATTTTAGTGTTCAGGTTATATTTTATTTGTTAACATAAGTTCTGCATGTTCGGTATTAGTTTAGACATGCATACATTTTAGGCCTAACCATTATTGCCTGTAGGACACAGAATTGGAGGTCCCAGTTCATCCTTTGGAAGGCTTTCTCTGTGTACGTAGACAGCAAAAGAAGGCCCTTGTTCCGTGCCTGTATCCGGTGTATGAGATATGCCCCGGGTTTTATTGTCTCGTTGATTTTTTATTTTTTTTTATTATATTTTTGTTTTTTTCATCCCAGCAGAACATAATGACTGTTGGCTGTGGGATTCAGGCACTGTCAGTGAAGGGTTTTGTGGGATCTTCCATAGAGCTCAATGCTCTACTCTTGCAGCAGTGGCTGCGAGGGACAGTCAGACGTATGTAAGTCCTACCTCACATGCACGACATAATTTGCAAAATTGACAGATCCGCTTAAAAAAAAAAAAAAAAAACAGTTAACAGTATTTGTTGTTTTCAATGTTTCATTTAGTGTAATTTACAGAGATGTTAAGGAGGGGAGAAGTGGTACTTATGAATTCATAAAGCGATTTTCCTTTTTTTTAAATTTATTTTAAAACTTCCAAGGTAAGATACGCAAGACACTTGGTACAGATAACATTAGGTAGAAGCAGTATACAATCTGTACTGAGTTTAAACATTGCTTTTGTTGCTTAAACCATCAGTTCTCAATGCATCCTGCCCTTAAGGTTACAATGGGAGTGCTGAAAGACTGTTTGTTTTTATCATATTGTTAGTAAACCAAAACAAAAACCATAAACATGTCCAACTAGCAGCACACCATCAGCATCCACTTTGCCGCCAACGTCATTGTGAGTCATGCCATCAAGGCAAACCACCCCCTCCACCTGCCAGCAGACTCCCCCGCTACCACCCTAATCGCCCAAAATCAATTTCTTTTTTATATATTTAATTGTATTGATTAATTTATTTTTGATTAATGATTGCTTATTTGTGCAGATACCAACCACTAACTGCATCTTTAGTCCTGTAAATAAATACTCCTTATATAAAGTTTAAAAAAAAAAAAAAAAACAATCAGAGGACAATTGCAAGACAGGTAGTCCTGGACTTTTGCAATAAAGAAATGGACTGGGTGCCTTCCAAAGATTTATTCCTTTTAAAGATACTAAATACAATTGTATCTGCTGATGACAGAGTGTAAATAATAGTTTGAAGTTTGTTATGAGGATGAAGCTCGTTTTAATAACTGTGCATTTGATTGCTGACAATTGTGATTGGGCAGTGAATTGTCGGCTTCATTAGAGCTAATTGCAGTCTTTCGTTCTGTGAATCTGGAACTATTGTCTGCTCAATATATGTGGAATTGTCTACGAATTGCTGACGGGCAGACTGCTAGCATAATGAGAGACACAATTGTACCTTATTAGGGTAGTTTTACATTAATTAGAGCTGCTTACAGCAAATGACAAGTTATATTCTTTTTTAAATTATCAAGAAAATGTTTTATTAGGGAAAATGCTCCATCTTTCTGGGCTTCTGTGGTACTTCCATTTGCACTGCCCCATAGTGTTATTAAATTGTGTATACATTTGTACTGGTAGAATCCTCTATGCCTGTATTTAAATGGATCATCTTTTAGTGCATTTCGGGGCCCATGTTATGAAGAATGACTATTGAAACCCATACTCTGAACAGCCAAGGCAATGCCCAGACTCCTTGTTTGGGGTAGTACAATAGATATAGTTTTTTGAACTTTAGTACAATGTAAATGCATCATAATATAAATATAAATCCAAAGACTAAGAATAGAAAAATTCACTAAGAAAGTACAATAAAAGCCCCTTTTTACAGATAGTAAATGGCTTTATTTTTATTTTTTAAATTTAATTTTTTTTTTTTGTATTTGGTTTGGGGCATGGATATTTTGGGGAAGAAAATTTCTAAAGAATGTAAACTCTAGTCTAGATGCAAATAATGAAGTGTTGTTCTCATTTTGAACGGCCCTCATTCTAAAATAAGTCTGTTAATGGGCAGCTTAAATGGATAGTCAAAGCACCATAATCACTGCAACCCATTTTAGTGTTTATGGTGGTGCTAGTAGACTGTGTGAGCTGGGTTCTGTGTACAGTTTTCAGAAACTGGGTTTCCTGGGGTTTTGCTACATTTGGCAAAGTATTCTTAGATTGACTGGTAAGCCTTTTCAGATATAAAAAGTTAAAATTTCAGGTATAACGGTATCAAGTTAAAATTCTCCCCTACAATCGCTCTACTCCATATAAATTGGAACTTAAAATCAAGTAGCGATATCTGCATTGCTGTCCATTGTTTTAAAGCTACGAAAATTAGAATAGCTAGAAACTGGAGATCTCCCTTGCCTTTTCAAAAATATCATATACTTACTCAAATCAGAACGCAACTTAATATGGAGAAATATTTCTCCAATAACCATATTACTCAAATTAAGAAAATAGAAAATTGGTTAAATAAAATGTCATCCTTATAGACGCCATCCTGAACTTGAAAGAAATTTATTAACTTTAAGAGATAAACACAACTCTGCTCTGATAGGATTACCTGTATGAATGTAGTACATTTATGTAAGGTGTGTCATTATTTTGTGTCTTGTTTTACGATTGTTATATTATGTCTACACATTTTTGTAATTCGTTTGTATAATTGTATTTGTTAAAAAAGCAAATAAAGAAATATAAAAAAAGACAAAAAATAGTGATTTTTCAACGTTTCCTTCAATGTGCTTATTTTCAAAGATACTTCAGCCAGTCACTTGAGGGAGTGTTGAATAGCTCATTTGCATGTCTCCCCAAACACCTCCACTAGCCATATAATCTCTATTTAGACATGAAGTGCCACAGAGCACCCATTCATAGGTGGGGAAGACGTGCAATGTCGCATTGTGACTGTGTGGCCCATCTTGCACTGTGTCCATTGATCGCCAGGACTTGCTGCCATAGTCAGGGGTCTGCCACCCCAGAGAGGGATCTTTGCTGAGGCCAGGGTCTTGGTACGCAGCCCTATGCTTCATTCCAAGCAGGAATTTACCCCTCTGCCTCGCTTTATCTGCCTGTACCTTTTTCCCAGAGAGGAATGAACCCCTCTGCCACTGCCTTATTCCAAGACAGGAATGGACCCTTCTGCCTGCATATCTCGACGCACCATCATTACAATGGCATTTGTGCTAACTGGCAAAATGATACGGCTCTCCCCACCAACAGGTCCTAAGACACTGTTAGAGAGGGCAACCTCAATAACTGAATAACTGACCTTATGAGCGGAAAACCCTTGTTTTATTTATTTCACCCCCTTTCAGACACTTATCGTTACACAAGTGGTGGGGAAAAATAAATAAATATTTATATATACATAGCAATGGAAATCTAATATATGCAGCTAAAGCCAAACCTAAACCGATATGTCATATGGCACATATGGGCTCTTATTAAGGTGAGAGTCCCCTTTATAGAGTGACTTTAAGTTTTTGGTATATAGAGACATACTGCACCATAATCTCCTGTTTTGTTTGCCTTAATATCCTCATCTATCCAAGAAGATGGGGTGCTGCCTATAAAAGCACATCTGCGCTACTATAGAGCCTTATCTTCGGGCTCTGGAGATTGTGAGTGTGTCTACCTTGCATGTGGCAACTTAAAACTACCATCTGCACTCGAA